AGAAAAATCAAAAAAAAATTACTGGTCAAACACGCACATAAACATATTCTTGAAAAAAGTTCTCAGTTAAAATTTCCTAGATGCAACGGTTTTTATTAAAATGGCAAAGGCGCACTCGCGATTTTCAGCATCGAGAAGCGCACTCTTAAATCGCCTTTAATTATTTGGAAAGGTGAATAACATGTAACACTGTGCATGCTAATGTATGCTGTTATTATAATTCAAGATTGCAATTACCATTAGGTCATTAATGCTTTTATTAGGAATTTATAATTTCAAGCTTATTAAACTTTCTCTCAGGTAGAATGTAATCTCTCAATAGGACTATTCGAATTAGGATCTCGAGGAGTCGTGAAATTCGATTTTATGTAAAGTACATAAATCTGTTACAATTGCATTTTTCAATTCAGTTCCGTTGTCTGAAGTAATTCTTTGTGGAATTCCGTGGTCACTGAAATATCTTATTAGTTGTAATGCAATCCCAACTGATGTTTTGCTAATAATTGAGATAGCTTGTGCAAACTACGAAAAGCTGTCAATAATTGTTAGGAATTTTTGATTCGAAACTACGTATGTATCAATATAAAGGTGTTCAAAGGGTTTTGAACCGATTGGAGTTGATTTGAATATTATTTTGTAGGGTTGCCTTCCATATTTTGTCTTATTACATATTTTTTTTTCCGACCTAAATTCCCTAAGCGTTGAAAAGGATCTTGAATTATGTGCCATACAATCAAACAAGCTAAAAATGCTGGTAATCACAATATACAGAGCACCACAAGGTAATTTCACGACTCTCATAGATGTTATGGGTTCTATCTTATAGAAAATTAGTATATCGAAATTTGCAATCTTTATCCTAGGTAACTTCAACGTTGATTTTATCAAACAAAGTTCACATAAACATGAAATCATGGATCTTTTAGCTTCCTATGGCTGTTATAATCTAATAAATGAATGCACAAGAGAAAATGCGTGCTTAGACAATATTTTCACAAATTTACCAGCGTCGGATTGCAAGCCATATGTTTTAGATGTAGGTTTTTCAGATCACCTTATAGTAGGAGTTGACTTCTGTGATAGGATGCCCAATTCAAAACCCGTGGTAAGTACTGTTTGTAGACCAATTACCACAAGAGGCTTAAGTCTGTTAAAATCATTGCTATTGGATGTCTGTTGGGATTTTATAGAGAATACTTACATAAGCATAGATCAAAAGTTTGAAATGTTTATAACTTTCATAAAAAATTCTGTGGATTTTGCTCTTCCAGAGAAGAGTATTAATCATGAGGGTAACGTAGCAACTCCCTGGTTTAATAATGATTTAAAAAATATACGAATCACTTTAAAATTTTACAGAGATCTAGCTAAACAATACAAAACTGAAGAAACAACTCTGCTTTGCAAAAATTACACTAAGTATTACAATTAACAACAATTAAAACAAGCCAAAAATCGTGTTAATGGCAATTATTTAAAAGACCACAATTTTAAACCTAAGGCTATATGGAATGTTGTTAAAAATAATATAAAGGACCCCGCACACTTCTTATGGGATTTCTGACCGCGGTCAAATTTCACCAAATTTTAGTATGTTATAGATCTGACCATTCTGATCAATAACTACCATGGGCTCAACTCAATCCTATGACTAGTTTTTGAGATACAGGGTGTCCAATGTGTGAATGTCCAATATGCATTATTACACCATGGAACGCATTTTCGATGAATATTACTATTTTTACGATAGTTGTTATTAATTTTATTAATAATAATAATAATATAGAGGCTGTCATCATCATTATAGATGATCACTCGATACCGAGTATGATTATCTACTATTCTTATTGTCGTCGATTATGAGTTTTCTGATGGCCATATATACATTCACGAATATCTGTCATTTTTCAGGAATAACCCTGACTTCTTAGTTTTGGGAAAAATTAATTAGGATCCTATTAGGGCACAGAAGAATGCATTAGTTGTAAATCCATCATAAACTAAGGCTATTTTGTTTGGAAGGAATATAGATTCGAGAGATTAGCTGCTTGCAGGTGTTGAGGCATTGTTGCTAGATCCTGCTGTATCTTTTACAGGGCATGTTAGTGCATTTTGTCACAACACATGTTTTATTTTAAAGAAGTTTTATGAATTTGAACATCTTCTTCCTACTAATACCAAAATCATGTTATTAGAGTCGCTAGTCTTGGCACACTGCTATTATGCAGACTGTGTTTATGGATCCTTTCTAACAGAACATAACATCATAAATATAGACTACAAAAGATTCAGAACAATTGTGTACGATATATATTGAACATAAATAGACGAGAACATGTTTCTCCTTACATTACTAACAGTGAAATGCTCAAGATGAGAAAAAGAAGATTTTTACGAATGTATTTTCTGATTTTCGCACAATAAACCTCGAGCCACACGCTTTTCCACAATCTTGGAACACCCAACCTTTGACAGCTAGCAGCATTGTTTCTTCCTCTGTTCTCTCGCTCCTTCCTCCAGGTCCCTCTTTTCGGTCTCGTGTCTGCGTCGCTGCTCTTTAGAACTTTGTGGTCCATCGTAGACTCCCAGCCATCTCCCAGTCCGGTATCGTTGGTATCGATACGGCACTTTGCCATATGTTCCTATTTAGAATAACTTTGTAGCGTTTTTGTTGACCTCCTTGATTCCGTTTTCCCTCCTTCAGTTGACTGTCCTTCAAAACACTACTACTTCTAAATGTACGTTCGCGGTCTTGCCATTTAATCTGTAGGATCCTTCTCAGGCATCGCTGGTGATATTTTTCTAGGCTTTTTATGTGTTTTCTGTAGGTGGTCCATGGTTTGCATCGATATGTAAGTGTTGGTATTACAACTGTATTGTAGACGCGAAGTTTTGTCTCAGCACTGATGTCGTGATTGTCGGAGACTCTCTCTAGAAGTCGCCCGAGTGCTGCGCTAACACATTTCAAGCGATGTTGAATTTCAGCGTCAATAGCATTCGCTGACAGATGGCTCCAAGGTATGAGTAGTGTTCTACGTTCTGCAGAGAATGATCATTCATAATTTTATGGTTATTTCTGGGGCTTGGGGATTAATGCCTGATGCAAGTTGGTGCAGAATCTGCGTCTTGTTAAAGTTGACTTCTAGGCCGATTTTCCTGTACGCCTGGTTGAATGCATTGATATTTGGTTGAAGATCTTCCTCTGTATTGGCCATTACGACGTTATCATGCATATTGAAGTTCAATTGTGGATTTTGTAGGTACAGACAAGTTGTACCAAACAACCTGTTAAAAATGCAGAAGCTATCATAACTAAAAGTAAGAATAGAATATACATTACCTACTATTAACAGTCGATTAAAAAAAATTAAATTATCTAAAAAAACTATTGGAGTAAGATATGTCTGTCTGCAGCATCTTGTACTACATTTAGAACCGTCCTATTAGGTAATCTAATGACAGCTTCATGCCTTGCATATCCCAAATACCAAATGACAGCTGCGATATGTGCGCATGAACCTATGGTTCGTGCACCTGTTTTGCACTGGCAAAAGTGACCTAATATAGGCCCATTTTCTATTTCTTGCTCAATATTGTCATCAGCTACATGTTCCGGATTATACCAAATAACTAGTTGGTATTTTACTTGATTTCTGTGCCTTTTTTTTTTTTTTTTTTTTTTTACGGATATGCGCACTCGCAAGGAAATGTCCTATCACGCTCGAGAAGCGGCAAGTGCGCGGAGCGCCTTGACCGAATTCTCACACGAATATGATTTGGCTGATTAAATATGGTATCAATTTCAAAAAAAAGATTGCCATGCTCTTCAATATTATCCTGTATATAGGATGGTGATAATTTAATTTGGAAGGTTCCATACATAATGTGTCTTAACTGAACCATATTTAAAACAGGAAAATCTCCAAATTGATTTTCTCGTAAAGGTTCCCATCTGCCATGGCGTCTTAAAAGTCCCTCATTTTCTAATCTGGCTTGAAGTACATTGGGTTCGTTTACTCTTTGGAGCATTTCTTGAGCCAGTTGTTCCGTGGCTTCCTCCATGTGTAGCGTTGGACGAAAACGGTTAATTAGGGCACAAGCAATCCGGAAAAAGCTTCCCAAATTATTTATTTGCGTATTTGGAAAAATGTTACGAAATATTTTAAATATTGATTGGATATGTCCGTTTCTGCTTTCAATTACCCACCTCTGTTTGGTAACAATTCTGCCAGCATTAGCCTCTGCAGTTGGTAATTGATTTCTGCCTTGTAAAGCTGGTGGAATTTGTACCGATATGCCAACATTGTTCAAAAACTGACGGGCATCACGATAGCCTCTGTCAACAATTAATACGTCACCCGGTTGAAGCCACTATTGAAGTTCTTGATCTCGATCGTATTGACATCTTAAAATTGCTGCATCATTGTTCCTTGAATCTGCGAAGAATGGGCCATGAACGTCTAAAATATAGCCATCTGGGGCGACCATAAGTACTGGTTTTACAAAGTGACAATGTTTATGGACTGAGAAGGACTGTCTTAAAGTTTGAAAATTTTTACTGCGCTGAATATGTAGATAGGTGCCATCAATACAAAGAATTGCTTTTGGATTTTCAGGTTCGTCATTAAATAATTGATTAGCGAAAACTGTCACGTGTTGTGCAATAAACTGCTCCCGATTTATATGGGCAAGACCTAAATTATGAGGCACAAAATTAAGAATTAAAGACTCTCTCACCTTGTTCATAGCTAAAGACACAGATTGTCGACTACTGTACGAAAACATAGTTGCCAAGAAAATATCGGAAAGTCCTTGTCTTAGTTTACATAAAAAACATAATAAATCTTTTTTCGTAATTGTTCTACTTCTCCCATAAATATTTACATTAGCGCAAACATCGAATACCTCCCGAAATTGCGCCTTATCTAAAGAAGATAATGCACATAGTTCTTCATCACTAAAATGATTTTCATGTGAAAAGATAACATCTCTTTGGCTACTTTCTTGCATTTTGGACATGAAAGAAGAAAGCTCTCTTCCTTTTAATTCGTAAGGCCTTCTAAGGGATCGAATTCCATTTTGTACGGGATAAAGTAAAAAACCATTATCGTCCAGATGAACAGGACAAATCCTACAGATGCTGGGTATGTATATACCTTTTTGTATAAAGGTTGAAACTCTTGTTTCTAGCGATAATTGTTGAATGTTTTCAGGATTTTCGCAAATAAGACATTGATGTGCACTATATTTTAAAGGTAGATTCATTATCGTTGGATCGGCGTCCTCTTCATAGGCATGAATTTCCTCTAAAATGCTTCTATTGCAATTTAGGCATAGACGACTATTATTACCATTCACTTCCATTGCCGCCGGTAGTGAAAGTTCTTCTCTTCGCCTCTTGGCAATATTCACTTTTTGGTTATCATTTTGCCTTAGGATGGCCATCTGTCTGGGATTACCCTCCACTTCACATATAAAACACTGAATTTGCAATCTAAAAGCCATTTTTAAGCATTGACTAATTTTGACAACTTTCTAAAGACAAAAATTGGTTATAAAATGTTATCACATAACCATGGTTATTGTTAATTTAATATTCTCAGTAAGCATTGTTTCGTGAGGGTTCATACTGTTTGCCTTCCTTTTTTAACAAATGGAAATTGACTGGAACAAATTAATGACGTCAAAAACGTTTGTTGGTTCTTAAACCAGAAGTCATTCATTTTAATTTGTCAAAAAAATTGAATATGTCATATGAATTAATCTACGACAACCCTTTTTTTCCAAATTATGGCATTTTCGATGTCAAAAGTATGAACCCTGGTGAAACGGACCTTACTTATTTTTGTGCCTCAGAATTTAGGGACTACATATGGAGCAAGACTCGGAACAACTGGCTCAAGAAAGTAGGCTATATAGTAGTCCCTATCTCAGTCATATAAACTGCTGGCAAAAAAAAAAAACGGGACAAGTAATTTTTAGCGCCATATTCAATTTGTAATAACTTTTTCAAAATTATGTTTGTTTTAATGAGGTTTTTGGTATTCGAAAGCCCATGTATATCTCATTAGAATTTTTTTTTTTTTTTAAGGAATGCATTTCTCAAGTAGGTAATATACTGGGTGAATAATAAACTAATGCAAAAGAACAAAGTTGTTTTTTTAAAGGTTCCGGGACACTTTTACAGTGGGGGAAAACGTTTCACAATCCATTAAAACGTAAGCCACATCGTTTCAAAATGGTGGTGCTAAAATGGATCTTCAGGAGGTTTTGCAAAAACGATCCGTCCAAATCGTCTCGAGATATTGGCCCAAAGTATCGCCTAACCAATTTTGAAAGCAAACAAAAGGCATATAAACCAATTTGAATAGATTTTTAAAAAGAACAATTATCATAATTTGCCTAATTTGAGGTGTATGATTTTCTTGACCCCTGGTATAATGTGAACAGGGCCAGCTGCAAAAAAAGCGAGCGAGTCGTGGAACCTCTAAAAAAAAAGCTTTCGAAACCTGCAAATATGTTCGAAATCGATGCAACCGTTTTCAAGCTACAGCCTTTTAAACATTGTGTTTACAAGATTTTGCCAACTTTGTCATTTAGTAGTGTATCTGCTGCCAAAGGGCACTTATCGAAAAACTGGCCAATACGTCCGGACATCCAATCAAGTATACGGAAATCCGAAAAAAAAAAATTGCCAATATGGCATCAGACATCCAAACTTTTTGTACTTTGCATCAGTCTATTATTCACCCTGTATATAACTTGAAAACTGCATTTCTTCGAAAAAAAAATATTTTTCTCACCTGAAATTCAACATGGAATTTCGAATACCAAAAACCTCATTAAAAAAAAAAATAATTTTAGAAAAGTAATCACAAATTGAATAGGTGTTAAAAATTTCCTGACCGGTTTTTTTTTGGCCAGCAGTTTAATTCTTGCATTTGAGCCTGGTTGTTGGGTAAAGCCTGTAGTGTATAGTATAAATAAATAATAATAATTATTAATAATTATCGTAATATTCATCGAAAATGCGTTCCATGGTGTAATAATGCATATTGGACATTCACACATTGGACACCCTGTATCTCAAAAACTAGTCATAGGATTGAGTTGAGCCCATGGTAGTTATTGATCAGAATGGTCAGATCTATAACATACTAAAATTTGGTGAAATTTGACCGCGGTCAGAAATCCCATAAGAAGTGTGCGGGGTCCTTTAATAACAAATGAATCAACATGGGACAGTGACTTGACTCCGCATGATTTAAATGATTTTTCAACAAGTATATCTCATACGCTTATCCATAATATACCAAAAACAAATAAAACATCTTGCGATTTTGCCAATAGCTATATTGAACCTGTAAAATCTAAATTGAATGCTTTGGAATTTAAATTTACATTAGTCTCAGAGGTGGAGGTTCGTGACACAATAAAAACACTTAAAAACAAAAACAGTGAAGATTATTATGGTCTTAATATAGAAATAATAGAAAACATTGTGAATCAGGTTATTGTTCCTTTAACAAAACTCATAAACATGTGTATCAGGTATGCAATCTTCCCTAATGTATTAAAAATATCTAGAGTGGTACCAGTACACAAAAAGGCCCCACCAATCAGCTTGATAATTATAGACCGATATCCATAATACCTATATTCTCTAAAATTATTGAAAGGATTCTTAAAAAAAGACTAGTCTTATATTTTAAAACTAACCCTGTTTAATAAGTCACAATATGGATTTAGAAGTTCGCTTTCAACCACACTGGCAATAAATAAACTAATAAAATTTATTAATGAGGGTTTTAGAACTAGAAAAAAGATTTATATTTCTGAAAAATAAAGTAAATAATAAAGTTAGAACTCTAAAAAACCAGTATTTTAGAAATAAGTGGGAACAAGCAGGAACAAATATTAAGAAACAATGGAAATTTATTAATAGCTTTTTTAAGGAAAAAAAAAATAGAAACACATATTGATTCATTGGAAGTGGAAAATGTGACTGTAAATAGTATTGATGAAATAGTAATAATCACTTTGCAAAAATAGGAAAGACCATTGTAACAGACATTAATGATGAGATTAAATTATTAAGACCTAGTTCTAAGTTTGATGAAATAAAATGTGATAGTTCAATGTTTGTAGAACTAACAAATGAACAAGAAGTTAGCAAAACCATATCTGAACTAAAGCGATACTCTGCACTAGGTCATGATGGAATTACAGTATTGGACTTGATTAATCTTAAAGATGATCTACTTAACATTTTAACAAAATTAATCAATAAAACATTTACAGATGGAATTTTTCCACAGGAGTTGAAAATAAGTAGGATAAGTCCAATATTTAAATATGATCCCAAAAATTGTTTGAACAACTATAGGTCAATATCTGTTATAGGTGTACATATTTTCAAAAAATTGGAAAAAATAATAAAAAAAAGAATGTCATCCTTTATTCAAAGATTTAACCTTGCGGATCAGTACCAGTATGGTTTTGCTAAAGATAGCAGCACGCTTAGTGCAACAATAGACTTAATAAATTACATATCCAGGGCATTAGATAATAAACAAATAGTTGTTGCGGTATTTGTGGACCTAGGAAAGGCATTTGACGTGGTGAGCACGGAAATACTATTGAAGAAACTTGAGCATATGGGTTTTAGGGGAGTTATACAGTGACTGCCAAAAAGTTTGCAACAAATGGGAAAATATTTTATTATTAAGATATCAAAGAGAATGTTACGGGGGATCGATTCAGCATACCCATCAACAAAAAAAAGCACTTTGACAGATGTCATGTGACAACAGTTATGGCGGGAAATTTGAAAAGTTCGCCTTGAATATGTAAAAAGTGGGGTTAGATGACCAGAAATCGAAAAATTGTACAGAGAAAAGTGGTTCAGAATTCGATTTTACGTCTATGTGTAAATTTTTAAAAAGGTACAAGGATTTTTAATAAATATCAATTTTTTGGCCTGTTTTCTGGTAATTTGAAAAATTTCAAAAACTTTTCGCTTGGTTCACATAATTCAAAGTGAAACTAACAAAAAAAAACCCAGTGCAATCATTCTGCTTAATTGTCCCGCGGAAAATTGTAAAAAAACAAAAATTCATTTTCAGACCACTCTGTTCTTGTTGCAATGACCTACAGAAAACAAAAATTTGAAATAACAAATTTGGAAATATCATAAAATCGTTCTAAATGATCCAATACCTCTTTTCTAAATTCAATCAAACCAATATTTTTACGAAAAGTTTTTGATATTCTTCAAATTACCAGAAAACAGAGCAAAAAATTGATGTTTATTAAAAATCCTTGTACCTTTTCAAAAATTGACAAATGGACGTAAAATCGAATCCTGCACCACTTTTCTCTCTACAATTTTTCGATTTCTGGTCATCTAATCCCACTTTTTACATATTTAAGGCGAACTTTTCAAATTTCCCGCCATATGACATCTGTCACAGTGCTTTTTTGTTGTTGATAGGTATGCTGAATTGATCCCACGTAACATCCTTTTTGATATCTTATAATAATCAAAATATTTTCCCATTTGTTGCAAACTTTTTGACGGTCACTGTATACACAGTGTGTAAAAAGTCCCGGAACAGTCAATTATTTCGAAAATGGTGCACAATATAAAAAAACTTCCTGTATAAAAGTTGAAGGTCTTAATAAAATCTATTGAAATAGGACTTTTGTAATTATACAGGGTGGCCCAAAAAGTTGTGCTACACAAAACTTCATTTTTTTTAAATGAAATGATCCTTTTTTAATTACATTTTCTAATTCCTCTAGAGATTCTAAACAACAATTATGAAACATGTCATATGGCTAAACTCATTAGTTTCAAAAATAATTTGAGTTGAAGGACATAAATACGATAAGTACGATATTACCTACATTTTGCATTGTTTCGAGTTGGTTCAAAATCCTGAATCCTGAAAAAAAAAAAAAAAACATTTAACTTTTGTTAAATGAAATGTACCTCACTCAAGTTTAGTCAAAATTTCATTAATAACTAAATTATTAAATACAAGCAGTACAGTAAAATTAACAATAACTTTGAAAGAACAGAAATAAAATTAAGTGTAAGACGTTATTTAATTAAATGCTGAAAATGTCCTCCTCCCACAGTTTGACAATGGGCTAGGTTATAGTAAAATTTATTGAAGACATTTTGTAACATTTCTTGGTTAATAGATGCACATTCTTCAATAATTCTTCTCAATTCGTTCAAATCTGGAGGTTTTGTCACAAACACTTTATTTTTCAGATGTTCCCAAAGAAAATAGTCAAGGGGCGTTAGGTCTGGTGACCATTTTGAACCAACTCGAAACAATGCAAAATATAGGTAATATCGTACTTATCGTATTTATGTCCTTCAACTCAAATTATTTCTGAAACTAATGGGTTTAGCCATATGACATGTTTCATAATTGTTGTTTAGAATCTCTAGAGAAATTAGAAAATGTAATTAAAAAAGCATCATTCCATTAAAAAAAAAATGAAGTTTTGTGTAGCACAAC